TACTCAGGCTATTGGAGCCATCAAAGTGAATTCAGAGCACTTTGGAAATATTGGAAAAAGAGCTTGTATTAAATTATATAAAATACAAATAAAAACCAATGTATTATCTCCATTGATCTTGATATTTTAGACTGACCGGAGGCCGTATTTCTACACATACCAGTTCGACTTAAGTCGACTGATCTGTCCCTTGTACTTCTGGTTGTCCCTGTGGTCTTGTCCACTTTGGGCCTGAAGTAACTGATCAATGCGCTTATGCTTACTCGGAATCATATTTGCAAAGTATGCTACAGCATCAGCATAATGCGCATCGTGGGCGATTTTCATTTTAATGGTATAATCGTCGACCGATTTGTTAAGTTCGTTCGTCTCGTCAGAGTTAAAATCCTCTGCGGGTTGGTGTAGTGCTGTGCGATCGAAGCGATTAAATTTGACTTCGTTAACACGTATACGGGGGTGTTTATTACCCCTTGTAAAGTCCATGGTCGAGGCCTTTCGGTGCTCTGTTCCATGGATATAACCTTGGGTGGTTCACGCGTCTGGATCACATACCCAGTCTTAACTGGTTTCCGACGATTGCCATCCCAATTGGGTAAAAGTGGCGGAATATTTATACCTGCCTCTGGGTCTATAATACCCTCGAGGACGGGTGACTCACGGCCGGGTGTCAGAACAGGCGAGTAATTAGACCGAACTTCTGGCGGTAGTGCCTCGTAAGATATAGATACGCTGAGCACATCTGGATCATATGCCTCAGGCGTAGCGTTTGAGTCTTTACGTTCTTCGGGCGTAATTGCCTGTCGACGTTTTGTCCACTTCTGCAGGGCTTCAGTAATGCCCGGGGAAACATGCTCGTGTAAGTGCTGTGTATGTTTTCCTGATCTATATAATTGATCTACATGTTCGACAGTCAAGTCTTTCATAATGGTAGCTAACTGATTCTTAAGATCAGCGTTTTCAGTAATTAACTTACTTATGCGCGTTGGCTTAGTAGTCTCGGACGTATATTCGGGGTTGCCACTTGAGCTTGCCTCCTCTTCTGGTTCCATAATAGGTTCCTTCTGAGATTTGTCCTTGTCCCCTATAATTGGGGACTCCCTTATAATTGGGGACTCCCTTATAATTGGGGACTTTCCTTTCTGAGTTTCGTCAGAAGAATGAATGGGTTGGGGCGTCTTGAGATGTGTTTCTTGTCTCACTTCTTGGCTTCGTAAATGCAAGCTTTGAAGTTGAGGCAATAGTTGGCCCTCGGGCTCTATCAGGGGGCGTAGTCTCCTTAAGCGGAGTGGCTACATCCTTATCTAAAGCATTGTCCTTTTGACTATTATTGTCAGAGGCAAGTACTTTGGCTACAATGCGATTAAACGTATCAGCAGCTGCAGAAGTTGCTTCTGCGGCCGCAGTAGCTGCGGCAGCGTTATCGGCTTCTCTCTCCATCTTCTTGTTTTCAGCTCTACGCTTCTTAGAAAGAGTTTTGTCTTTCTTGGTCATAATCTTAACTTATCCACGGTCACAGGCGACCAATAGCAGCAGTGAGTCTCCCAGCTACCGCTCAAAAGTGGACAAACCTGCAAAACCGAGCCAAAAAAAACGCCCGACCCCACCAGCTTCTCAGTCCCAACCGCAGCCGCCAGTACCCGAACACCTTTTGACGAAAGTGGTGGGCCGCCCGATGCCAGACAAAACTCTTCATGAAATGGATGACATAACTCCGGTATGGCTCTTCTTCCGAGCAATTTTCCCTAACGGCAAGCCCCCAGTATTTGAAAAATATTAGCCAAATCGCCGCGGAAGATCCACCAGTTTCATCCGCCTTTGTGTTCCTAGCGACGCTGTCGCCCAGGTGAAACGACATGCAGCACTTACGTGGAAATGGCAGCTTGATGAAAACATCGACCCCCGCTCCCAACAACATCCCGACGCTACGAAAGCAGCTTTAATCCACTATCTCCGCACCAAGCGGGAGGCCCGCTGCACTCATAAACGAGCGCCAAAAATTCTTGCCCGCAGCATGGATGCACTACTGAGCCCACTTGTCAACTCCACTAACGCAGACATCCTCCAATTTACCGCGGATCGTCTCCAGAATGCTTACCAAGCAAAGCATAATGCAAACCTCTTCTCACCTAACCCGCGAATCGCGGCAAACGCTAAAGAATCAGCGCGTGCGAAACCCGGACGACTTCATATACCAACGGTCTCCCCTGACACAGTCATCCGACACGATGGTTAGCAATACGCAGCCTCAGCTTTCCACGAAAGACTCTTCCACGACAGGCAATGATATAGAAATGGCTGACATCGTTAAAGAAGAGAACCCAGTAGTATTGACCGATGAGGAACAATGTTAGGACCAATGAGGATGGCGCTCTTCAACCCACAAGGACTCAACATGGACAAAACAGCACATACAGATAAGTGTTTGAACGTTATATCGATTTTAAGTCAGGTTGTTGTTATTTGTGTGGTTGAAACCTGGCATAACACCACATTTCTTAATCATATACGCTCGAACACACGCTATCATATACTACATCACACTACACGGCATAATATCTTACACCTTTCACACTGTGGTATTGGTATCTTTTCCAAACATCACCCATCGAATTTTCAACTTGTACACTCTTCACCGTACGCGGTGTTCTTTGTGTGCTTTGGCGTTCATATGGTCGTGTTCTACTTTCCAATCAAATCACTTACTGAAGAAGACGTCAGGCGATACATGAATCCCCCCGAGATTGGCGGTTTCCAACCAGATGTCGTGTGGGGTAATTTCAACTTCAAAGCCCGGAAGTATGGCCACGCATCTACAAATTACGGACTACGTATGAAAACAATAAGACTACTCTGCGTAATATGTGGCACTTGGACTACCTCTATGCTGGCGGCTCAACTGGTACAGAACATGCGTATCATCGACCTACCACCCCCGCCTCCCTCCAAACTTATAAGCTGACGGACTACAGTATCTATGGTGACCACAACTTTGGACTCGATCTCCAGATACTTCCCACGAATCAAATCCATCGCCCCCAACAAATACCCTCCCATGGATATAACTGATATCACCATCGACTGTATCACCTACGCAGAAAATCCCGCGCGCGACTATTACAAGCCAAAATCCGGGCGCATCAGAACCTACTACGGTCGTATCTCACTTTACATGGACCAGCGGAAGGGCTGCTACGAATCCTCGACCGCATCTGGCGCTATGGTACTAACCCACAAATCTTTGGAGGGTTCTATTATGACTTAAACAGATCCTGGATTCAGCGGCTGGCAAACCACTCGTTCCGCCTATGCTGCCCGGAGGATTACAGCACGAGGACGACCCCGGGAGTCTTTCCTCGGCAGACCGAGTGATTCTGAATATGGGAGTGAGGGTGGCCGTAGCAAACACCACCGTGGCCAGACCCCCTGCCACCGTGACACTAGTGCGTTTCGTGGTCGCCCATATGATCGGCACCGCTCTCCGTCCAACTATCCAGATAGCCAGTATAATTTCGATCGCGATCACCGTTACGGAACAGGTCGATATTCATTCTCAGGACTCCATACATATGGACAATCCTACGTACTGTGCCCCAAGTGCCATCTCCGATATTCTAATAAGTTATGCACCATCTGCCACATCTGTAAGCAGCCGGGCCACTACTCCAGACGGTGCCCCCACAAGGTTACCTCCTCGGTTACAACAGTTACCGACACCAAGGACGACCCCACACCACTCATCACTGGAACTTATACCCCACGTGAGCACTGACAGGTGGCAGGGACAACGCGCACATACACTGAACCACAACATTTGGCCCTACACGACGAAACAGTGACGATTGCCCCCGCATCCACTACAACACTACTTGATAATGTACTAGTCAATATGACACTAAGTACCGAGACAGCTACGACATTAGATATCGTGACGGAACCCATAGACAATACTGAGATATTTAGATACGCCCTTAGATACTGATGAGATACATTTTGTTTCAACAGTTTTCGTTTTTTGTATTTTATGGTGTATGTTGCGCGCTGGTAATGAGTTAATAGTGCGCCTTGATTTTGCATAGGAAACCACTGTTATA